GGAGGGGGCTTCTCTCTAGCCTGCGTGCTGGAGGAGCCCGTTTGAGCAAACGTTTCCTGTTCATTAAAGCCTCTTGCGTTTAGCAGCAACTGGACTGGACATTGAGTTCTTGGGGTATCGACCGAACCTGGAAGACTCCTCATTCTGAGGGTCTTACACCTTAAATTCCAGACCCTGTCCCCTGGCAGTAAGTAGGCAAAAGGTCACATTCTTTGCTGTTTATGACAGGACCTGTGATCTTGGCTTCATAAGATAACAGAAAATGAGCTTTGTTAACCCACCCAGGAGCCCTTGCAAATGCAGACCTCCGGGGCTAAGGAAAACTGATTGGTCTATAAAGCGCAGGCTTGGATGGTTTAAATTCATTGGCCGCACCACCGGGGCTCTGGATGCTATGAAATGATTGGTTTGTGATGTGCAGGCTTTGTTGTAAACCTATAAAAGCTGTCTCAATTCTGTACTCAGGGTCCTCAGTCCTCTACCCCTGCGTGGCGCATGACTGTGGACCCCAGTGCACTTGGAATATGAAAGACCTCATGCTTTTACATCAAGACCGCTTCTCGTGAGTGATTTCCTGAGCGGGAGTGTGAAGGTCCACGCTCTGCGGGTCTCTTACCTGCTCAGTCTGTATAATGTTACTTGCATGTACGACCTACTGGTAGTGAATGACACATTTGAGGTTCTTCCCCGGGAAGATTATTTCTCCTGCTCTCAGCACTCCTTAGTTGCCTGTAGTTCTCTGTCTTGGGTTGAGATTTCCCCTCCCATGGGCAGAAAGACTGTAAAATCAAAATAAATGAAAAACTTTCTTATTCCAAGAGGGAATGGCCAGGCCATGGTTGATCACAAATCTGGACTAAGCAAAATCAAATTTCAACAATGTAAAAAGTTCGGTGACTGACGCATGATACTCTGGGCTCCAAAGGGCTTTTTTCTCCAGCCCTGCTGTTCACAGCACACAGTTTCTAGGCTCAGGCTTCCTGCTCCCCACAGCTGCTGCTGTCCTTGGCAGTAACTTGATGGTTCTGCCATCTCCAAAATGCTGTAGTTTCTACTGCACCTGGGCTGTACCTTTCCAGGTAGCCTCTTTTGGGATCTCTTCAGAGTCTCAGACCCTGCCTTATGCTGACAAGTCTCAACTTCTCTCCATGACCTCTTTACTCCCTGGACTTCTACTTCAACTGAGGGTACATATTCACCAATGGCCTCTCCCAGCTCTCGCGGTGCCAAGCCTCACTTGCTCCGCATGACCCCTTTATGCTTGCAAAGCCAGTACCATCAAAAAAACTCTTACATTATCAAGTTTGGCTTCCAGTACACAGTACTTGGACTCCTCTGAATCAGAGCTTCTGTGTGCTGACCCTGAGGAAACATTTCCCAGAAAATTTCCTCTCAATGGTGCTGAAACCTTCTTAATTACAGCTGATTCTTCAGCCCTGATGACCAGCACCAATTGTCCCAGCAAAGAAGTTTCATTTTAGTGGCTCTAACCCAAAGTATCAACCAGATAGAGTGTTTAGGGCACTTTCAAAACTTCCTTCTCAAACTTCACAAGCAAGGCCTCCATTGTCTGCACTGATTTCTGCACTATCTTCTAAGTTCCCACTATTTTTCATTAACTTTTCAATGGCTTTCCCAGACCAGAGTTCATAGATCACCACACCCCTCCTTAAAACATATAGTTAGGTAGCTTTGGATGCTGTCCTGGAACTAGCTCTTGTAGACCAGGCTGGTCTTGAACTCACAGAGATCTGCCTCCTCTGCCTCTCAAGTGCTGGGATCAAAGGTGTGTGCCATCACCACCTGACTTAGTTAGCTTTCTGTTGCTTTGATGAAACACCATGACCAAAAGTAACTTGGAGAGGAGAGGATTTATTTCATGTATGTGTCCACATCACAGTCCACCATCAAAGGAAGTTTGCAGAAATTCAGTGCAGGAAACTGGGAGCAGGAACCTGGGAGGCAGGACCCTGAAGCACAGGTTGTGGGGCATAGTGCCCTCAGGCCATCCTGGTGGGGACATTTTCTCCATTGAGATTCCTTCTTCCCAAATAGCTCTAGTTTATGTCACATTTATGTAAAACTAGCCAACACAGGTATGCTTTTCCTTCTCTTCAGAACAGAGTATTGTTTTAGTGTCTCCCTAGGGCTGGTTTGGTGGCCATATTTACTTTAGTCTGCTTTTATCATGGAAAGTTTTTCTTTCTCCTTATACTATGGAAGATATTTTTGCTGGGCAAGCTCAGAGACTGGTTGGTCTTCCTGCTCAGGGATTGGTTGGTTTTTATGCTGAGTTGTTCAGTGGCAGAGTGTGTTATTTTTGGCTCTGGTCTCAGGACCAAAGTGTGTTATTTGGCTCTGGTTTCAGAGTCAGGTTGTGTTTCTTTGGCTCAGGGCCAAAGTGTTTGTTTCTCTGGTTTTGGTTTTAGGGTCAAAGTGTGTTTCCTTGGTTCTGGTTTCAGGGCCAAAGTGTGTTTGTTTCGCTGGCTTTGTTTCAGGTTCAGGGTGTGTGTTTTTTGGCTGGCACTTTGTCCTACAATAACCAACCTAGGTGCCAATTGTCAGATGAGTAGATAAAGAAAATGTGGAGGCTGGAGAGATGGCTCGGGGGTTAAGAGCATTTGTTGCTTTTTCAGAGGATCTAGGCTTAGTTCCCAGCATCCACATGGTCATTTATGACCATCCCCCACAGCAGTTCCAGGGCATCTGTAACCCCCTTCTGGTCTCTACAAACATAAATACATGCAGGCAAAGCACCCACACATAAAATAAATCTGGAAAAACGAAAATGTGGTATGTATATATACAATGGATATTTAGTCAGCTGTGAAGAAAATAAAATTACATCACTTGCAGGAAAACTATCACATTGATTTTATTGTTTTAGTTGTCACAGAGAAATGCATCTAAGGGTTCTCACTGTATTTCATAGAAGTCTTTAGAATTGAACTTTAGAGAAATGAGGGGGAAAGTTAAGAGCTGTGGGGAACCTGTAGTAGACCTAAAACTTTTAGCCTTGTGAGATGAGCACTCTCTTAGTGTTTCTGTTGCTGTGATGAAACACCATGACCAAAAAGCAAGTTGGGGAGGAAAGCGTTTATTTGACTTATAATTTCAGATCACAGTCTGACACTGAAGAAAGTCAGAACTGGAACTCAAACGGGGCAGGAACCTGGAGGCAGAAGCTGATGCAGAGGCTATGGAGGGTGTTGCTTACTCACTTGCTTCCCCTGACTTGCTCAGCTTGCTTTCATATAGAACCCAGGACCACCAGCCCAGGGATGGCACCACCCACCATTGGTTGGGCCCTCCCCCACTGAATACTAATTGAGAAAATGCCTTACAGCAGGATCTCATCGAGGCATTTCCTCAACTGAAGCTCCTTCCTCTCTGATGCCTCTGTGTCAAGTTGGCATATAAAACCAGCCAGTACAAACATGGACAGGCCGCTAAGGGACTGTTACATGTTGGGTCCTAGGTGTCCCCAGCAGGTGACACTATTGGGAGGTGGTAGAGACAGAGGGTGATACCTTGGAGTAAATTGTGACTCTGACGTTAGGTTACTGGGAACCTATAACTTCCTGGGGTTTTTTTTTGTTTGTTTGTTTGTTTTTATTACAATCATGAAGTTAACAACTTAATTACACTACAGGCTGTCTGCTTTGCTTCACCAAAGGGCAAGGAAATAGATGAAGCATCTACAACTGGAATCTTCTGGCAAAATACCTGTTTCTCAGTCTGAGTTTTTTACATTATTATACATTTTCAATGTCGCAACACTTAGCAGGTGCTTACACTATTATTGTTAATCTATATAAACTTAAATATATTTCAAGTAATTCCAAAGTCTGATGTTATCAATTATTTGTAATCCACCTTTCCCCCATAAACCGTAAAAGAAGCCGTGCTTAAGGCCTAGTCTACCTTCCTGTTACAGCCTCCCACAATCTCATTAGTTGAAGATGTTTGTCTTAGTTAGGGTTTACTATTGCTGTGAAGAGACACCATGACCACGGCGACTCTTATAAAGGAAACTGTCATGGTGGCTTACAGTTCAGAGGTTTAGTCCATCATGTGGGAGCACGGCAGGGTGCAGGCATATTTGGTTTTGGAGCTGAGAGTGCTTACATCTTGACTCAGAGGCAATAGGAAGCTGACTGACTGTCATACTAGTGAAGTTTGAGAAAAGACCTCAAAGACCACCCCACAGTGGCATACTTCCAACAGAATGTGTGACCCAAAATAAGGTGTCCTTCAGCCTGAAGGTCTGGATCAAAGGCATGTATCATCCAGTCTCCTCCAACAAGGCCACACCTCCTAATGATGCCATTTCCTATGAGCTTACGGGGGGCAAATACATTCAAATTACCACAGCATTACTTCAAAAATAATGATAATTTTCAGGGGGCTCCTTCATGGAGGCAGTGGATTAATAGGGTAGGATTTGAAGGGTGTTTTGTTTGTGGACTTATATTTCTTTTCTCCATGCCCCTTCTCCTCCTCTTCTCTCTCCTCTTCTCTTTCTGTCTCTCTCTGACTCTGTCTCTCTCTGTATTTATTTTTTCTCTCTCTTTCTGGGTCTGTCTGTGTGTCTGTCTGTCTTCTCAGCTGCCATGAAGCAGGCATCTTCCCTTCAGCACACACTCTCCCTCCATGTGATGCCTCACTCAGGCACTGATGTAGTGGACTAAAAGGGCCATGGCAACAAAGCCAATGATACAGGGACCACTATAACTCTTTCTTCCTTCTGTTAATTTTCTCAGATATCTCATTACAGCAGTGGAAATCTTCAAATCTGGGTTTTACCAGACACATGGCCTTTTGTTTACCTAGTGAGTCTTATGAGGTACCCACCCACCCTTAGACTCCAAGACTTAGAGGGAAGGTTTCAATCCATGAAACTGCCATGGATCTACATTCTATCCATAAACTTGACCACTATCACTGACTACAGAAATTTTGGTTCAGGTTTTCTTCGATATATTATGACTTTCTGCAAATTTCTTGCTGTGGTTTATTATAGTTATTTTATATATGGTAAACTGGTATAATTTTAATTTAATTCACTACTTATACATATGACTTATATGGAAAAACTGATAACATTTACGAACAATCCTGGGGCACTGTATCTTGAATGACCTTTTTCTTTGTTTTTCTCCTTGATTAGAGGTCAGTCGTTGGAGTCCTTTAAAATGGTGTCACTTTGGCAACAGCATCCTTCTTTGTCTCTCTTGAGCTTTTCCTCCTGGAACAAATACAGCAAATACCATAAACCAAAACAACATGGGAAAGGGCACAGAGAAGACGGATATCCCAGCATTCATTAGAGCAACCTTGTCCTTTACCCATCAGTTTCAGGAAAAGCCACAGTTCTCACAAAGATTGGAATAAATCTTGTGGATAAAAGACTGAACCCTCTGGAAACTTCTGGAAACCAGCTCTGATTCCTCCTACTTTTGTTATCATGGTGTTCTCCTTTCCTTTTATGGTTTTATTGATGATTCCATGAACATTTTATTGTCTGAATTACATAGCAAACACAAGAGTCCTTCCCTCAGATACATTGTCATGGGTGGCAGGTTCTTCGGTCTTGCATATAATCTGTAAGTTAGGTAGTGACTGTCACATCCTAAGTCTTAGTTTCAGGAAGCTTACCAGCATTCACTGGTCTAAGGAATGAAACGCCATTTATATTTGTGTGTTATTGTGAAATATCTTCCTGGATATGAACTTCATAATGGGGCAAAGTAGACATAAGTTACATGAACTTGTCAGGATATGTGTTTCATAATGTCAGTGTAAAACAGAGGATACATGCACTTATTATATTTACCATTAAATCTTCTATCACCACCTGGTCAGAACTGGTTCTTGTGATGTAGAGTTTTCAGGTATGTATGAAATCCCTATATAGAGGGATGTACAAAAGGTCCCTAAGCCAATGCCAGTGACCATATGTGAAAAAGCAGTTGTCAGCTTGCCGAGAGACACTGACCCTGAATTCACAGACCACTGACACACAAGTCCCTGACAGGGAAGGCTGAGGTATTACTCACTCATTTTCCACATCTTGGATGGAGTCAGGCAGAGGCTGATTCTTGGTCTCAGGAAGGAGAAGGGCAATGAGGCCACCGATGATGGGGAGGACTCCATAGATGATCCAGGGCAAGGAAGCCGAGTACATGGTGAGGATCATAAACAGAGGAGATATGGCGGCCCCAGCACTGCCTGCAATTCCAGTGACTCCTAGACTGGTTGCCCTTGGGGCACAAAGTATAAATCAAAAGTAATCTAGCAAGTTCACACAGAATTTGTTACTTTACATCTCATATTAAGTCAATGAGCTGTGTAATTGACTGAAGGATGCTGGTAACTTATTCTTGACCTTCAAATTTTGGTTTCATTTGGTGTTATCTTTTTGTCAAGATCAGAGTATTATGATACTTGTCTATCACTTACAATAAAATGTGCTATGGAGGATAAATACTACATATTTTCTGTCATATGTGTATGCTACACTTTAGTTTTTATTTGTGCATACATGTGGGTGGGGGTCTGGGTATTGACTATGAAACTAAAAGAAGGTCTTAAGTGGAGGGAGGGATTTATAGTATGTGACATGAAAGGAAAAGGGGGTACTCAGGAGTAGACTGGGAATGTAAGTGGGAATGGAGAGATGGGAGTTAGATAGATAAAAAGATAGTATCTGAAAACATTCTATTGAAATAAATTTTCTATGCTAATTTAAAGACACACAACTAAAAAACAAAAGACATGTGTGGAAGAAGTTAGCAATAGTGGGCAGAGATAAGAGAAGGAAGATAATGGACAGTGAATGTCATCATACCTGCATAAAATCATAAAAAATAAAAAAACGACCAATCCAAAATAAAACATTAAAAAATTGTATTTTTCTAGGTGATCCCAAATTGTACAGGAGATGCTGGTTAGTGCTACATTGGGTTTGGATCTATCTGACAAAAATAAAATTGTGGCCATTCTTGTTATCATCACAACTGCTTGCTTAATTACCCAGCAGTTTTTCTTTATCCTTGTCCATTCAGGAATAGTGAATAAATGGAGAAGAATCTGCCTGACCTTGAGTCGTACCTGATTACGGTGGGGACCAGCTCATTTGCATGTACAAGAATACTCGTTATACAGGCAGAAGAAATTGCTCCTCCCAATGTTATCAAAATTATGCGCAGGGTCTGCATTTCTGGATAGAGACAGATAAATGTGCATGTAGAAATTTGCAGCTCCACAACCCCAAATGATATTAATTTTGTTGGAAGTTTGTATAGCTCTAAAATACAGTGGAGTGAGACTGCAGAGAGGTGTAAATTGTCAGTGGTTACAAGCTGAGAAAGGGGACCTATCTTCGTATATTAGTTTACAATGAAGAAAAGCTTCTGAAAAAATTGTAATACACCAGTGACTGATCCATTGTTGACCTAAACCCATTTGAGAATAAATGTAGCAGATACTTCTTGCATGCAATAAAGACACATATCTGAACCAAATTTTACTGAAATTTTGGCTGTTATTTTAATATTTCAATGGAACCATGTATTCTAAATGCTTGAACTGCTTATAGCAAATCCATAGGGTATCCTTTCCCCCAATACCTATAAGGTAGGAACTGACAAATCTGGAGAAAAGGATGGGTGTATTTTCTGTGCTCATCCTGTATTCTATTCTCACCTTGAGGCAAAAATATGGTGGAGAGAATGAAGATTCCCAACAGAGACAGGAAAATCAGTTGGGTTATTCTGCGACCCATGTGGTTCATTAAAAAATTTCCAAGAACATTGGCTGGAATGGATATCACACCATAGAGACACTGCAGTAGGAACACATTACTGCTCAGGTATTGGAGGTGGATAAGCAGGCCCAAAACAGGTATCAGTGACAAAAATCTGTAGTGAACAAAGAGAAAAGTCACATTATAAGGTTTGGAGTGGTTGCTCAAACATAACATAATTATCTCAGGCAGCTCATTTTAGTTTTTAAAATATTGAGGCATCTGTTTTGTAATCACAAAAACATTCTATGATGAAGGAAACAACATCAATGTTAAATTTTGTTGTTAAGGGATTAGGGAATTCTTGGGATACAAGCTGGGTCCATCCAGGGTTTTAGAGTTTTTCTTATATCTTGATCTGAATAAAAGTTCTAACTTTATATCTACATATACCTACTGATATGTATACAGTTATGTAGTTGATATTTGAAGTTTTATTTCCTTTGAAGTGGAAACAAATTATGAAGTTTTGATTCCAAGTTTTGCTATGACTGAAGTTCTAAGCAACAGTTTCTAGTAATGAACTTGTCAGAGTGATTAGGTAAACACCCTGTGGTAGTATGATCCAAATCCTTTGGATTTCCCCAGCCATATAAATTCCTCATTGTAAGGAGTAAGGTTTTTCTGCCTGCCGCTTGTCTTGTCCTGCCGCCGCGCCAGCCCCAATTAACACACTGAGACTCTGTATTTGATATAATGCTGTTGGCCAGGTACTAGTTTCTTATCGGCTAGCTCTGTCTTAAGTATTAACCCATTTCTGTTGATCTACGTAGTTTCACGTGCTTTCATCTTACCAGGGAGTGGGGCCGGCGTATGGTCTCCCCAGTCTCTCCATCTTGACTCCTCCTTCCTACTTCCTCTTTCCTCCTTGTCTCCTAGTCCCTCCTATCTTCCTTTCCTATTGGCCAACAGTGCTTTATTCATTAACCAGTATGAGAAACATATTTACAGAATGACATCTCTCATCATCTCCTCTTTTCTGTCTAAATAAAAAGAAGGGTTTTAACCTTAACATAGCAAAATATATCACACAATAGTTATCAAATAAGAATCACAGGTAACAATATTTAGTCCATTAACATTTAGTAAGATTTAAGAAAATATTCCATCATCTATTCTATCTTTGTGAGCCTAAAGTCCTATATGTTTATCTTTAATCTAACTAAGGTAAACTATAGCCATAACTATCTGTCTTCAACTCTCTCAAAGACCACAGAAGGATAATATGTAAACTCTAGAAATGACAGAGACAACTTACTGCCTGGTCAGTCATCTGAAGTTCTGTAATCTTTCATCTTCAGCCCATAGGGCATAGTGTGTCTGGCAGACTCTTCAGCAAAGCAGGAAACTTTAAACTGTCTTCTTGTATTGGCAGTTTGTCAGTCCCTTTTCTCTGTGTCCTGAAGACTGTCTGGCAGACTCTTCCATGAAGCAGGAACTCTGTAGCAATGTCCATCTTGAATCAGCAGTCACTTTTCTGTGAGTCCTGCATGTCCAGTTTATACAGCATAAAGTCAAACAGTCCAGACAAGAGCAGTATCTTGTCCAAATGGCTAGTCTTGCCATATTGGAAGTAAACTCCATAACGAGTTTCTTCAATGTCCATCTTCCTTTTTGACGTGGATGGTGCTGCCAGGAGCAATTGTGCCTCATTGTCAAGAATAACCCTAAACCATTTTAAATGCCATATTCTATAGGTCTTTGAAAGGTTTGAAGAATGCCTACTTATCTCAAATATATCTCTATATATCTAGAAATCCTAACTAACTTAACTATAAGTTTTGACTATCATAGGTAACTATCTAAAATCTATATTAAATTATACATTACATTTAAAATGAGCTATATAAACACAATACCTAAACAAGAGGAGAAATACAAATATCACAAAATTGACCTTAAATTGTATCAATAAATGAAAATCCATTTTAAAACAAAGTATTCATATCTATACCATAATCCCCTTTTTACCTTTAAAAAGATTTGGCTGTGATCATTAATCATTTATAACCAAACCCATTTATATGAAACAAACATTTATAAACAATATTTGGGAATTTGGGCATTGTTCTTTCCAAACTACTTCCTGCTGATAGGGGGCGCTGTCATGGGGATCCTAAGAAGATACAGAAATCCTGGCTGTAGTCTTCAAGGCTGCCTTGTTCAAGCTGTTTTGAATGTTGGATCACCAGGAATGCTGTTTCAGGGGCTCTGGCTTGATCAAACCACATTAGCCTGGAAGGAATCCATAGCTTTTCATTTTCTGTGGAAACAAAAATAGAAATCCTTTTCCCCAGTAACATGTCCTTAGACTTAAATTTTGAAGTCAAAGCATTTTTAAAATATATAAATTGAATTAATTCAGCAGTATGTCCTTTAACAGTTTCTGTTATTCTCTCAGCAGTCAAAAGATACAAAGACAATATAATGCCATGCAGTATGCATATTCTCTCTATTTATTTATTTATTTTATATAACCAAGTCCATTTAAATGAAAACAAACATTTATAGACAATATTTGGGAATTTTGGCATCGTTCTTTCCAAACTACTTCCTGCTGGTAAGGGGTGCTGGATTCTCTCCATTTTTATGTGGCCTTTTCATTACTTTGTACATGCAGAACATGGCATTTAAATGTTTTAATATTAGTACTCCACTGACATGAGACACTATTGCTCCTGACAGCACCATGCACTTTCCCGAAAATATGTTGGACACTGTTGTTGCTCCTTCTGGAGTCCATCCTCGCCTCAGCTAATGGCCTCTTAGGCAGAGAATTGCCCCCACCTTGACCACTGATTTGGACATGCGGTCCTATGTGCTTGCAGGAGACAAATATAAAAGACTGCTGAACCTTGCCAAGTCAGGGTAAGACAGCCTTTCTACCTCCCTGCTGTTGTTGTGGTCTGTCAAGTACTCTTGGCCTTAGCCAAAACTGGGTGTACCAATGTTGCTGTGAGACCTTGGGTGACTGTCCAAGTAGCCTGCTGTTTCTGTCCTCGCTGCACTTTTTTGGAAGTTGCCCATCCACACTTCCTGTCTACCCTAGTATCGTTATTTTCCTTCTCAGGTCTTGATGAGGTTGGAGATTAAAATATTATGCTCTCTTTCTAGTTAGATATATTAGGTACTAGACTTAAGTTTTCCAGCTTAAGACAACTCTATTGTAGATTCCATTATGCCTTCACCCTAGGACTAGATATCTAGGTCGTTTTGTTCTCGATTTTCCTTTTCTTAGAGCACCCTTGTTTTTGTATACAAAACCTAGTTTTGTATAAAGCCTAAATCTTTTCTTTAGACTAAAAGGGGAATTGTAGTGGAATATTCACTTTGTCTCCTTCTGTGGCACTGACCACACCCATTGGGGGATGGAGCCAGGGGTGGAAGTGACCTGTGGAACTAAGTTGGAGGAGGCATGGGAGAGTGCTCTCTTGCAAGCTGCAGCTGCACGGGGACAGGAGGACTTCCGGAGGAATTCTTGGAAGCAGGAACCTATTGGTGTTCACCTGTCTATATTATGAGTTATTTCTCCCTGAATAAACATCTGTTCGGCCTAATTGTTTATCCTGATCTTTATTAAACCTCGATACCTCATCACTTATATTCAAGTCTATTAATGAGAAGATTAAAGTCTACACTGCATTTTGAGACAGGGTCTCAATATGTAGCCTGGGCTGGTCTTGAACTCTGTATGTAGACCAGGCTGACTTCAAACTCATAGAGATCTGTCTATATCTGCCTCCTGAGTGAGGGATTAAAAGCACCAGCCAGCACTACACCATTTTCAGAGTGAAGCCCACCTCACAGAGCACAGGACACAGATCCGCTTACGTAGGTTGGGTGCACGGAACAAGTCCAGCAAGGAATGCTTTGTCTGTGCTGCTTCCAGTTCCTCCTCCATGGTGCTTCTCACAACCTTCAACAACACCAACAGACTGTTGTCACAAAATGATAAACACTGTGAGGCATGCTGGTAACCCACAGAAGATTAGATCGATAATTATTGTTTCTGTCTACTGAACTTATATAGACATCATAAAACACTGCCAAGTATAGTAGTGGTGAGAAATGTGAGCCCAGGAGAGGAAGGAAACTCAGGCATTTCTGTTGTGGGAATTTGGTCTGATAAGCCAACAGTATTTGGGAGGCTTGGCCCAACAGGCGTGGTCTTCTCTGGAGGTACATGACCCAATAAAATTAGGAGAGAAGAGGATCATCGGATCATGCGATCTTGGGTGTAGGCGAGCTGGCAGCGAGCCATGTGGGAAAGGGGTTATTGCACAGTGGCAGAGAGCTGGTTCCTCAGGAAGAAGGGTAGAGAGACTGATGATATAACCCAGAATCCTCCTTCTGTCTTGTAATCATTGTGCACGGAGTTGATATTAATAAACTGTAAAAGCAATCCCCAGGCTTCCCACATTACATTTCTACAGTGAGGACATGTTAATCAGGAGACTATAGTTGAGTGTAGATTATTGAAAGGTAGGAATAGGTTAGAGATACAGATTAGGAAAGGAAACAAGTGAAGACTTATTTAGAATATGGTCCCACACTCCACATACAGCAGATGAATTTACATGACATGGCATCTGAGCCTGATGTTCCACTGATAACTCAAAAAAGTTTTTTTTGAAATAAAAATATAATTACATAATTTTATCCTTTCTTTTCCTCCTTCCCTCCATCCTATCCTATGCAACCTGCCTTGCTCTCTCTCAAATATATGACTTCTATTTCTTTAATTACACACACACACACACACACACACACACACACACACACACACACACACGATATGCTCAGTCTGTATAATGTTCTTTGTATATGTGATTCCAGGGATGATCACTCGGCATTAGACAACCAATTTGGCCCTCATCGCTAGGGAACTCTTTTGTTCCCTGCATCCCTTAGTTGCTGCAATTCTTTGTGGTTGAGGCTCTGTGGAATTTCCCTTTTCTATCGTCAGAAAGGTTGTAAGAGCAAGAGGAACAGAAAGTCGGCTGTGAGATTTTTGTCTTCCAGATATGTCAGAGAAACTACATTCATGAAGTCTCATCAGTATGGTTGCTTTAACAAAATATGAACAAGGGCGACACAAGCATACATGCTAACTCAGAAGGGGGAGAGCCATTGATTGTTAATGACTGAAAAAACAGTCTTAGGCTGGACCCAAGACTGATGAACTCCTAGTCATGTTAGTGAAAAGAGTTAAAGTCTGAATTAATAAAGTTAGAGATAAAGGGAGAGACACTAAAATGATAATAAAACAGAAAACCATAAAGATACAACACAAACTAATATGCCAACAAATTATAGAACCTTAAAAATAGATGAAATTATAGATGCATATTGCCTAATAAAATTAAAGCAAGACAAAGAGAATAATTTAAACAGATATATAAACTTCCAAGATTCAATGGATTCGCTGTAGAATTCCCAGCATTCAAAGAAAAACAAGCATCAACATGGTTAAAATTATTCCACAAAATAGAAGAGAAAGGAAGGCTTACTTTTTTTTTTTTTTAACGAAGCCAGTATGACCCTGATGCCAATACTGTCTCAACAAAACAAAAAGTTTTAATTCTGGCCAATAAAATTAAAAAAAAAAAAAAACTCATCATGGTCAAGTTGGCTTCAGAGATTCAGTTCTGACATAGGTAAATTAATAAATCTAATCAATTACATAAATGCACTTAAGACAGAAATCATATAATTATCTCAATAGATGCAAAAAAATTCAACAAAATCCACTATCCTTTCAGGATTGAAATCATGGAGAGGCTAGGAATGGATGGGCTGTATCTCACTCAACATAGTAAAGACTACATGTTACAAACATGTAGATGACTCTGTTGGTTTCTTTTCTGCCATTATGATAAATGACAAGAGAGAAAGGTCTACTTTGGATTACAGTTTCAGAGGGCCAGAGACTTTCATGGTATAAGTCTGGGGAGACGTGGAGGCATGAGCGGAAACTGGGTGAGCATGCTGCACCTGGACATAGGAAGCAAAGAGAGCAGCCAGTGGAACCAATCTATAAAGTCTCAAAGCCCACCACCACTGGCTTACTTCCTTCAGCGAAGCTCCGTCTAAATGTTTCATAACTTTCGTGAATATTGCCACCAGCTGGGGATTTAGTATTCAGACATGAACCTACAAGGGACATTTTATACTGAAACCACAACATGCCATTGCCTCGATGAGCTTGTAACTACCTCGTGATGCAAAATGCATTTACTACAATTTTAAAAATCCCCATAGTCTTTAATAGTCCCAACATTGTTCAATAGTTTAAAGATTCTTCTGGGACTGAAGGCAATCTCTTAACTGTGATCACCTGTAGAAACAAACATATTACATACCAACATGATAGATAGCATACAGTGTACATGCCCATTACAGAAGATAGGAGTGGGGGCATAGTGAGGAAATAATTGAGCAAAACAGGACCAAACCCAGCAGGAAAACATCAAGTCCTATAGTTCCATGTCCAATGTCTGGGACATTAGTTTTAAAGGGATTAGATGGTGCCATATCTCCAGCTATATATTGTTTGCCACACATGACTTCTATCTTAAGTTAGTTCCACTTAGTGCATGTGGCTTTTGTTGGCAACTGTCCCACAGCTCAGATACAATATCTTTGCATCTCCATCTCAATTTAGTTTCACCTTCACAAATTCATGCAATGGCCTGTCAAAGTCACATTGCAGTGACTCCAACTCTGCCACATAATTGTCTGGCTTCCTCTAATACCTATAATTGTAGAACAAAACTCCATGAACTACTCTGTCTTGCATTCTTAATATCTGCAAAGCCAGTTCATGTTGCCAAGTACTGTTACCAGTTAAGTATGAATCCTGGCCTTCTTGGACCACATTTGTATCAGCATCTGTATGTTTATCCCAGGAAAATAGTCTACTAGGCCATTGCTTTTGAGGATCAGGGAATCTTATCAACTGTGTCATCAGCTCATGCTTTGTACTTTTAAATAAGTTTGAATTCCCACAAGTGGGTGTTGTAGTGAGATATCCACCCTGCTCATACCTGTTACACTGATCACACCCATTGGAGCATGGGCACAAGGGCGGACATGATGGGAAAGGCTAGGTCTGGGGTCCGGATACCAGCTTGCTCTATTGCTTTGCTCTCTGGGTGTCGTCCATGGAGCTGGAATCCGCGGCAGTCATCTGTTTCATGTGTAAGTGAATTCTCCCAGAATAAACATCACACAACCTATACTGAGTTCCAGTGAATCTTATTTCCATTCTATAAGGTGGTGGTACACACCTTTAATCTTAGACAGATCTCTGTGAGCTCAAGGTCACCCAGGGGTATATGAGATTGAATCAGTCTAAAAGAGTAACAAATCATACGGCTTTAATCCCAGATCTAGAGTGCTATAAAAGATAGAAGCAGGGACTTCAGCATTCATTCAGTCTCCAGCCACACTGAGGCTTGGTGAGAGCTTGTGGAGACAGGATGAGCCCACTCAGCCTGAGGTAGAGATATAAAACGAGTCACTGGCTGCTTTGCTTTTCTTAACTTCAGCTTAAAGTTTGAACCCCAATACCAGTCTCTGGGTCATGTATTTATTTGTGTTGCACACTGCCACTCCTTAAGGAATTATAAGTAGTGAGCTACTGCTATTTAGGAAAGGCTCATAAATCCCTCCTGAGGATGCATAGGGAGTTCATTAGATAATGGTTGCTGGGGGAAGAAAAGCCATTTTTCTTCAGTGGGGTAGCCAAGCTATTGTAATGAAATCTTCACAGTTCACAATGTTTCTATAAGAAACTTGAATTAAAATATTTGTTTAGAAAGAGAGAGAAAGAGAGAGAGAGAGATTAAAGTAGAAGTGGGACTAATTGGGAAGAGGAAGGAATCAGCAGAATTGTGAGGGTATAAAAATGGAGTTGGTATGATGAAAAAAGACAAACATACACTATGTACATGCATAAAGCTGTCAAAATGAAAACCAATACAACATATAACCAATATATTCCAATAAAAGTAAAAAATAAATAAATACAATCCCATGAAGAAGGTTCTAAAAACTGAGTTTTCCCTAGTTTGCTTTTTTATTGCTGTGATAAACACCATGGCCAAATACACCTTGGAAAAGAAAGGGTTTGTTTTATCTTACAGCTTACGGTACACCTTGGAGGGAAGTCAGGGTGGGAACTTGGAAAAGAAAAGGTCACAAGGAATGCTGCTTACTGGCTGACTCTCTTTGGTTCTCTCAGCTTGCTTTCTTATATAGCACAGAACTGCCTATTCAGGGGCGACACCCCCACAGAGGGCCAAGTCTCCCCACATCAATCACTGATTTAAAAAAAAAAAAAAAAAAAGGCTCTACAGATGAGCCTACAGGCCAATCTGATTTTTCTCACTTCAGAGTTCCTCTTCCCAGATGACCTTAGCTTGTATTGACAAAAAAGAGACCAGCACAAAATTTATGAAACAAAATGAAGAAAAACAGAGGGGGTTTCTCTGCATAATCCTGGCCATCCTGGAACCTGCTCTGTAGACCAGGCTGGCCTCAAACTCACACTACTCTGCCTCTGCCTCCCAAATGCTGCAATTAAAGGCATGTGATTCTTTTTCTTAGTTGTGTCTTAGTGTGTTTTGGGTACTAAAGTAATTGTGGCCTTGTAAAAAAAGTTTGGCAATGACCCTTCTGTTTCTACTGTGTGGAACACGTTGAGGAGTATTGGTATTAGTTATTCATTGAATTTCTGGTAGAATTCTGCACTGAAGCAATCTGGCCCTGGATTTTTTTTTTTTTTTTTTGATTGGGGGACTTTTGATGATGCTTCTATTTCATTAGGGGTTATAGGTCTACTTAAATTGCTTATTTGGTCTTGATTTGATTTTGGTAAGTGATCTCTATCTAGAAATTTGTCACTTCTGTTGAATTTTTGAATTTCGTGGAATACAGGTTTTCAAAATATGACCTGAAGAGTCTCTGGATTTCCTCAGTGTCCATTGTTATGTCTCCTTTTTTCATTTCTGATCTTGTTAATTTGCATGTTCTCTCTTTGCCTTTTGGTTACTTTGGATAAAGGTTTGTTTATCTTGTTGATTTTCTCAAAGAGCCAACTTGTTGTTACATTGATTCTTTGTATTGTTTTCCTAGTTTCTACTTTATTGATTTCAGCCCTCAATTTTATTATTTCCTGGATCCTACTCCTCTGGGGTGAGTTTGCTTCTTTTTGTTCTAGAGTTTTCAGTTGTGCTGTTAATTCTCTAATGTGACTAATCTCCAGTTTCTTCATGTGGAGAAAATGTGGTACGTTTACCCAATGGAATACTACTCAGTGGAAAAAAAAAATCAATGGAATCTTGAAATTCGAAGGCAAATGAATGGAACTAGAAGAAACTATCCTGAGTGAGGTAACCCAGTCACCAAAAGACAAACATGGTATGTACTCACTCATATATGGATTTTAGACATAGAGTAAAGGATCAACCAGCCTATAATTCACACCGCCAGAGAAACTAGGACACAAGGAGTAGTCTAAGAGATTCATACAAGGTCCCTCACAGAAGGGGAGAGGAACAAGATCTGAGCATGTTGGGAGTTGGGGGGCAGTGAGTGGAGAGGGGGCTAGGAGAAAGAGAAGGGAGGAGAGGAAAGCATGTGGGACTAGGAAGATTGAGTCAGGGGAGGAATAGACGAGAAATCTGGCACTAGGGAAATGTCCAGAGATCTACAAGGATGACCCCAACTAATAATCTAAGCAATAGTAGAGAGGCTACCTTAAATGCCCTTCCCCAGTTGTAGTGAGATAGTCTGTCTGTGGCACTGACCACGCCCATTGGGGGGTGGAGCCATGGGCGGAGTGACCTGTGGAAGGAGGTCAGAGGGGAGCCAGGAAAGGCGCTCTCTTTCTGGCATGACTCGGACAGGAGAGGATCGGGTTGAATTTCCTGGTGTTCATCTGCCTAGGTTGTAAGTTATTTCTCTCTGAATAAACATCTATTCGGCCTATTTGTTTATCCTGATCCTTATTTAACCGCGATACCCAGTAATGAGATTGAAGACTATCTTTATATGCCATCCTAGAGTAGCTGCTGGAAGCAGAAGCAGACACCCACAGCTAAACACTGAGCTGACTCTTGGAAAGGGTCAGACCAGGCTGGAGAAACCCATAGAAACTTCTGACCTGAACAAGAGGGAGCTCATGGACTCCAGTCTGATGGCTGGGAAACCAGCATAGGACCGACCCAGACCCCCTTAATGTAGGTGTCAGTTAGGAGGACTAGACAGTTTCTGAGGCCTCTGGTAGTGGATCAGTATTTATCCCTAGTATAAGAATGGACTTTGGGAGCCCATTCCACATAGAGGGATACTCTCTCAGCCTAGACACATAGGGAGGGCCTAGGCCCTGCCCCAAATGATATGACAGACTTTGAAGATTCCCCATGGAAGGCCTCATCCTCTCTGAGGAGCAGAAAGGGGATTGGTGGGTGGAACAGAGGAGGATGGGAGGGTGCGGAAACTGGGATTGATATGTAAAAAAAAAAACTTGTTTCAAATTTAAATAAAAAGTTATATATAAAAAGGCATGTGCTACTGCCACTGTGATTTTAATATTTTTTAATTTAAATATCCTTATGAAGTTTTTTAGTGACTACACATTGTATATCAGGCACTTACATGAGTACATGTCAAATTTGTGTTCCATTATGCTTACCTCCATGGTTAGGGCATCTCTAGAACTCTTCATTCCATTCTTGCATGCAGCTTTTTGAAGTTCCTTTAAGCCCTTTTGTAGTTTGTTGGTCATAATCAGCCACCGAGCTGACTCTGACAGCCACCTGCTCAAGATGTTGGAAGTCAGACTATTCTTAAGCAGGCATTTTAAAACCACATTGATCCTTGAACAATTATATTCTTTAATTTAATACCTACCACTCATTCAGTTATATTAATAAATATAATCTTACACTGTCTAGACCAACACTAGGAAAATGGGAAATCACTCATGTATACATTATACTCATATTTCTAGAATGCAGACCTGGAATTAGGGTGGTCTGCTTATTCTTACCAAAATATGTATTACATGGAGTTCACAGAACTACAACATGAAGGATGCTTGTATATAGACATTTTCCAAATTTCTTGTTAAGGTGAATAGTTAATGTATTCTTACTTTGTTCTTTTCCTAAAAAATGAACCACTGGATAAATTGTGTACTTTAATTCTATCATTTAGAGTGTAATCATTCCTACTCCTAGCAACTATTGCTTTTTGGCCACAAAATGAAGTTAACCCTACCTTCATTTACAATCTATAAACCAGGGAGAGCAGCATTTTAATTTTTTTTTCTGTTTTTTGTTTGCTTGTTTTGAGATAGGGTTTTTCTGTGTAGCCTTGGCTGTCCTGGAACTCAGTTTGTAGAACAGGCTGGTTTCGAAGAGATCCTCTTGCCTCTGCCTCCCAAATGCTTGGATTAAAGGCATGCACCACCACTGCCCAGGTATAGCAGCATCACAATTTTGATGGATATGCTGTGAGGATGAAGTGGTATGGAAGAACATACTAGAGGTTCTACCTCTTTTCTGTGTGGATTCATCTCACTATATTAGCCTATAAACATTTAATGGCCTTTCCTAACCAAATATGCCTCCTTTGCTGATAGTATCATCATAGCACTGCTTAATTCTTTTTCTTTTTTAATAGAAAGCAAGGGAATCCAAAGAGCCAGTGAGAGAAGTAGGCCATTCTGCCTACAGCTTTAAACTGGAGAGGCCATGATTTTCCTTCATTGAACAGTTGTGAAGATAAACTTACTTTATATACCTTTTATTAATATCAAAATTACCATAATTTTCAAAGCATATTTTTTGTTTGCAAAATCACCCATTGAAATACAAACCACAACAGAGACAAAATGATCTTTAAATGCTTATTCTATTACTGTCTGGATAATTTAGACTTAGTAACAGGGACAGGCAGAAAGGCCAAGAACATTCTAGTAAGGATTCATTGCTAATTTCTGCTTTTGGGTGTTTTTTTCTCTAGTATATAAAATAAATTTGTACACAGTAAAATTTGAACATCAGTATACTTTTTTTCTGTAAATACATCACATGCATTACTTTGGATATACTTACATGAAAGTATTTATGAATACACTGAAATGTTGTGTATTTTATCCAGCTATTAAACAAAAATGCAGAACTAACAGGTAAACAGAATTTTCAAATAAAGAATGGGTATTTGTCAGAAAACGTGGGTCTTTCCCACATATGTACAGTGATTTTATAAAATTACTTATTGCTTATCTTGAATTCAGCCTCCACAGTTTTATCTGACAGAGCTGCTTGTCCTTCTGTCACATAAGTACAAAGAGGAGTGCACACTGCTGCCTCATGGAGACCAAACACAAATGCATTTCTTATGTCCTGATTCCATGTACATGGTCATCCCTGGATTCCATAACAGAAGAGGAAAGAAATCTCATACCTTGTGGGAATAAGGAAGAGGAACATTGGTACAGACATTGCCAGCTGGAGGTGGTGCCAGTTTCGAATAGCAAAAGCCAGGCCTCCCAGTATTACCTGTCCAATACCCCCAGCAGCAAATGCCAGTGCCATTACCAAAGCTTGGAATTTAGGGCTTGTCCATTCTAATACTGAAAGAAACGAAAATAAAGTTTGACTTTTAAGAAAGCTGCAAAGGTCAAACCCAAAGCTTGGACAATGTCCATCAAAAGCTTTGACTTACTGAGCAAAACACTGTTTGTCCTCATGGATGAGGAAGAAATCCCTGCCAGGAAGCGAAATGAGCAGTAGATGAGGAAGGAGGGAGCAAAAGCCACACAGGTTTCAGTGATGGCCAGCTGCAGTAAAGCACCTGTGAAAACAAACTTCCTCCCAAACCTGAGGAAAAGGAAGGGTTTGATTATGGGAACAATAAGAGTTTGCATAAACAATGAAGACAGAAATTAAAAAGGACAGACATCCTCTACAGCAAAAACCTTCCTTCCAACCTCTTTTAGATGGGGATCTTACCATGTAGTCCTTGCCAGTCTGGAATTTACCATGACTCCAAAGCTACCTTCAAACTCTGAGAGATCTGCGTACCTTTGCCTTCTGCTCCTTTTGATATCTTTTCTTTTCTTTTCCTTTTTTTTTTTTTTTTTTTTTTTTTTTTTTTGGATTTTCATGACAGGGTTTCTCTGTGTTGCCCTGGCTGTCCTGGAACTCTCTCTGTAGACCAGGCTGACCTCGAATTCACAGCGATCCACCTGCCTCTGCTTCCCAAGTCCTGGGATTATAAGCATGTGCCACCACTGCCTGTCTCTTTTCAGTTTCTTATCATTAGTTTTATATGTGTTGAGCCATCTATGACAGTCTACAAACCTGGAATTTTAACATAAGTGTGTCATACTAAATTATGCATGTAACATATCTACTAGCTATTTATTTAATCATAGTGGCAAAATATCTGATGGAAACTACTCAAGAGAAAGATTTATTTGGGCTCACAGCTTCTGAGGGCACCACCAGCCATCTATGGTGTCAGGAACAGATAACAGAGTTCCTCCTTTGCAGTCTAAACCAATTAGATTCATTCGAAAACCAAAGTGGGAATCTCCTTTAACATCAACCACAAGCAACCCAATTCTGCCAATCAAGTCCCACACTCTAAAGTCTCATAACCTTCAAAAGAGCATCCCTCAGCTAGGGAACAAAGTATTCAAATACACACACCTATGGTTCAAAAGATTTAAATTCAAAGGAGAAAATATGAAATGAGAATCAATCACTTTTATACGAGTGCTTATATACAACCTTTTGATTATTGATTCTATAGAATCCATTGATTATTCCTATAAAGGATGATCTCTGCATTCAGTGTCTTACATTTTACCTTCTTGAATTTATATATTAATATATTATATCAAACATAACACATTTTTCAAAAAGTCTGTTCCTTCCCCTCTTTCCTCCTTCTTATACTCACATGATGCATATTTTTGGCCAGCTTGCTGATGTCCCATGACTTCATTGAATGCTAGTAACTTTTAAATCTATCTTTTGGATTCTTAATTTTTACAGTTTTACTGTCATGTTTCTTTTCTCTAATTCATTATTGTATTAATGTCATCTTATACTAACTGTCTCTAGGGAAAATTTTGATTTCTTGTATTTTTAAAATCCAGATTTCTATTTTGTTCTTTCATGTACTTTCTATTGTTGATGTTCATATACACTGGTTTTCTAATTGACATTAATACTTTGTCCATGTCCTATAACATCCTTTTGTATATATTTAAGATATATCTTTTAGAGTATTTATCTAGTAAATCTCTCACAGAGACCATTCCTAGTATGTTACATTTTGAATGAGTTATACTTCTTTTTTGTTTTCAGAATTATTACTTTATTATTCTTATAAGAATTCATATTTGATTGTTGTAATGTGGAAATTTGGAATTCAGATTCTTACTTTTGCAAAGAATGTTCTTTCTTTATTTTATTTTTGAAGTATAGGGGCCTGGAACTTTTATGTCTTTACCAAACGGTTGCAAAGACAATTCCTTTGTCCTATGTTTTCACTGAACCCTTAAATTTCTTTACATCATACTGTCTAAAGTTTTTATGCATATTTCATGGAATGCCAGGATAGCTTCAATTTTTGGTGGTAGACTGACATTTGTCAGGATACTCCTTGAAGATGAAACTTATCTTTCTCTAATATTAGAACTAGTTTGATGTATAAGCTTAAGATCTCCATTTTGCAGGAGTGACGCACATCTTTATTCCCAGCACAGAAAAACCCTGTCTAGGAAAAAAACCAACCCCCCCAAACAAACAAACAAAAAACCAACCAAACAAACAAAAATCAAAACAAAAACCCTCTGTGTTGTTTACGGATGTGTGTCACCATTAGTTATATGATGTTGTTCTATTTTCACACACGTCTGCTGGATTAGCTAAAAATAAAATGATAGAGCAAATGCAACCATATTAGAAAAATACTCAATGTGTAAAGGCTAAAAAACCTCAATAAAAAAACAGAGATAATGAGAATGAATTAAAGATAAAGACCTAGACATGAGCTAGTTCTTTGAACAGATGAAATAATATTGTCAATTAACATATCCTATTCAAGAAAGAGATGGTTCGAGAGACTATTGGACAGATATACTTTCTAGAAGACTATTTATCCAAGTGTAGTTGTATCCATCTGTAATTCTATAACTTGGTAAACTGAGGCACCAGGACCATGATTTGAATGCTACTCTAGCACACAAAGAAATTAGAGGCCAGTGTGATTTTTATAGTAAGGCATTATTAGGAGTTTTGTTTGCAGAAGTCTTGTTTCTTATGCTGCCAAAGTATAGGAATTCACAGCAGTCCAGACATAACAATAAGTCATAGCTTATTTTTAATCAGGGAAGTGAGCAAGAGCACTAATTCTACTCCAGAGTGGAAAGCCAAATGAGCCAAATGACAGCAAAGCTTTCCTCTAATATCTGAGATTGTATATCTGTATCTATTAGATGCATTCCTCTTGTCACTTCCTAGAATGGTCTGGGTATTCCCTCCTTGGAAGGGGAGCAGGCTTCTTAGAATCTGTTTTTAACCCACAAGTCAGACTATTAAAATTAGGTACAAACATTACTTAACTGTTTATGAAGGTAGAAGTGCCCATGGAGTTGAGAAATTTACTAGAGCAAAGTTACTTTGGGCATGCCCCTCAGAGGGGGTCTCTGTGGGTACCAGCTTTATTTTTCACAGACTACTGCCCTTCCCTTTGTTTATGTAGTTTCCTATCTCATGGCCAACTGCTTGCCTTTCACTTATAATGCCCTGTATTCCCAAATCTGTTTCAACCTTAACATCTGTTTCAACCCTTGTTGTGGAATATTAATTTAAGATGTATTTCACTTGTTTATGTTGTGGAATATTTATTTATGATGCAAAGCCTAGATCTCAGTGCAAAAGCACAAATATGGTTTAATAAAGAGCTGAATGGCCAATAGCTATGCAGGAGAGGGATAGATGGGGCTTCCAGGCAGGAACAATAAATAGAATGAAATAATGAGAAGAAGAAGCAAGAAAAGGGGAAGGAAAGAAGATGCCAGGGGCCAGCCACACAGCCAGCCACAGAATAAGAAGGAAAGATATACAGAAATAGAGAAAGGTAAAAGCCCAACGGCAAAAGGTAGATGGGATGATTTAAGTTAAAAGCTGATTAGAAACAATCTAAGCCAAGCCCAGGCATACATAAAAAAGAACAAGTCTGTGTGGTTATTTGGGAACTGGATGGCGGGTCCTTCAAAGAGCAAAGAGTAACTACCATCAAACCCTAGTAATCCTAAAGTTTGGCAACTTGAGGGAATACACGTAAAACCAATATATGCTACCTAGTGCTACATAATGAGACACTGTCTTTAAAAAGGGAATAATAAATTTACAAACCAAGTAATTAATACTTTAATGGGGTTTCACTGAGATATGGAGAGACATGTAGACACTTACTTGGCAAAAATAGGTTTCTGTTTAAAAGACATGTTTTCAGGTACAGAATCCAAATTCTTTTTCTTTTCTTTTCTATTTTTTATAATTTTTTTAATTTTACATGTCGATCCCAGTTCCCTCTCCCTCCCTCCTTCTTACCCTCTTCCCCCCTCACATGCACCCTGACCACCCTCCCCTTCCACTCCCCTACCCCAATTCCACATGTAGGGCTATGCCATCCAGGTGGGGTCATGTAAATCTGCCAAGTCATTTGAAGTAGGGACTAGGAATCCTCTCCTGTCTCTAAGTTAAGGGAGTATCCTCCATGGGGGATGTGTCCACAAGGTCCTTTTCTGTACCAGGAATACATCAGACAGTGGTCTGAGGTCCCTCAGTCCTTCTAGCTGAGACCTATATTCAGGGGGTCTGAGTCAGTCCCATGCTGGATTCCCAACTATCAGTCTGGGGACCCGTTAGCTCCTCCTTGTTCAGGTCAGCTGTCTCTATGTGTTTCTGCAACCTGGTCTTGTCCTCTCCCTCTGCATCTGGATTCTAGTTCGACTCAGTGTTTAGTTATGGGTGTTTGCTTCTGTTTCCAACAGGTACTAGATGAAGGCTCCATGATGGTGGATAATTTAGCTGTTGATCTCACTATCCGGGAAGGGCATTTATGGTAGCCTTTCCATGGTTGCTCAAATTGTTAGTTGGCGGCAGTCTTGTAGGTCTCTAGACTTTTCTTTAGGTTCAGTTTTCTCTTCAAACCAATAATAGCCCCCTCTTTTATGTTCTCTCTCTCTCTCTCTCTCTCTCTCTCTCTCTCTCTCTCTCTCTCTCCCTCCCTCCCTCCCTCCCCTCTCTCTCCTGTCTTCTATTCCTACCCTGGCTCAATCTCCCTAGTCAGCTCAGCCGTTAAAGACTAGGCTCACAACCATAAATATCAGAATCCAAATTCTTATGCCACCAATTGTGATGACCATTGTTGTTAGATGGTCTTTGCATGACTAAAAGTGTGACTTTTAGAAATCTGCTTTGAGACAATTTAGCCCTTTCCACCTGTCCTCTCAGCCTTTCTTCCCAGCCCATCTCCATTCCTTTATGTTGCCCACCAACCAGAAGCACTATCTACCAGGGACCTCATAGCCACCACACTTGCCTAGCGTCCACAGAAGACAACAGCAATCAAAGAAGAGAACACCCACCTAACAAAGATAAGACCAAATATCTGCACTAAGAAACACCTCAAATATCACAGTTCCAGATGCCTAGATCTCAGTGCAAAAGCACAAATATGAACTACCAAGATTATATGACTCTGCCAGAACTCTATTACAGTAGGTTCTGAGAAACACAATACAGCTTGAGCACAAGACAAGTTCAAAATAACAATCATGAACACATTCAAGGACCGT